GAGTCGCAAAAGTTCCCATCTCCTTCCACGTTGTGCAGAGACTCCCACACCAGGCCCTCCTCGCGGAGGAAGCCCTGGTCCGTCACCAGCAAGTACAAGTGCCCCTGAGACAAAAATCACCGTCAAACGCCGCAGACATGACAATGGAGACATGAGTCAACTGAAATATGATTGAAGCCTATTGGGAGAGGGGCTTGGGCGTGACTCAAGCATGTTTGACAAACAGCACGTGACTCAAACATGTCTGACGTTTCGTGTACGCCAAAAAACGACTGCGTGTGCGTGGAAGGTGAGCGTGTGTGCTCGTGTGGCGCCACCTTGTGTTTGATCATGGTACTGAAGTGGTTGTTCCTGAAGAAGACGCACATTTCCCCCTCTTTGGCAGCGGCGTTGAGCTCGCACAGGCCGTGATAGGACAGCTGAGTGGCCGTCGTCTCCAGGAAGTGCTCGGCCACCAGACCTGCACCACGTGACTCGAATGTTTCTCAAACACCACTCAAAAGGGCTCACGAGGCACAACTTCAACACTGTTTTTTGGAGCAGCTTCCTGTTTGTGTGTGGACAGGTGGGTGCTAAAAGGTCTGTGCGTCTGCGTGCATGTAAAATGGCATCATTATCCAAATTTGGATCAAGCTCACTCCAAATTCAAGTCCGATTGTTTATTTCATATATATACAGCGCAATGTTATTATGGGAGTGCTTTTGTTTTGAACCTACAAATATTTTTTTTCAGTTGTGTTTTTAAATGTCCCTGTGTAGGCCTGTCTGAAATCAAATTTATTCTCCTAAATTTGCTTCATGCTGGGTGTGTGCACGTTACCTTCGGCGACTTGTGTGCTGTCGGCCGAGTGTTTGTAGTCGATGATCTTCTCCACCAGTTGGTTGTAACTCAGCTTGCCGACAGCGGCCACCATCTCGGGACTCTGCGCACGCACATGTGACAAGAGTCAACAGTGTGTCTCGTGAAGATGACTGAAAGGGGTTGGCGGGGGTGACACCTGGGGGTCCACCAGCCATCCGTGGTAGAGCGGGATGTCCAGCAAGTCAAAGACGATGCACTCGGGCGTGTACTCAAAGTCGGTGACGGCCGAGAAGCGAACGTTCACGTCGAGCCCCGTCGACAGTTTGGGCAGCACCGCCATGGCGTCGCTCATGTTCTAAAATGTTTCAGACATGTTGTCGTTGCATTTTAGCGATACGTTCTGTACATTTAGACATGTTTTACTCATACTTTTCAAACTTAAGTCACGTTTTTAGTCAGGTTTGACTCGGGTTTTAGCCACGCTAGCAAGCCACGTTAGCAAGTGATGATCTGGATTGTGTGAGTACGGCTGTGCGTACCTGTTGAAAATTGAGCTCCATCCCGTCCGTCTTTTGCCTGGGTGTAACTGACAGCACACACTCACCTGCACACGAACACAGCTGATGTCATGGAGGTGATGAGGATGTCATCATGACATCATACCGAAGCAGCTTACCCAGGTGAGCCATCAGGTCCTCTGTGGTGACAACTTCAGTCTGAGCGGGGAGCTTTGCCTAGCCGCGCAGACACACACACACACACACACACACACGTGTGAAAGGCGCATATGCATTGTTTTGGGGTGTGTACAGAAAATGTGCTTGGTACCTTCCAGCGAAGGAAGAGTATGTTCATGATGGCCAGCAGGGGGCAGGGTCCGTTGTCACTTTGAGTGATAATGGGGGTCTTCTTCTTTTTCCAGGTGATCCACTTGACCAGGTAGTAAGCCGCCGATGTGCCTGCCGCAGCTTCGGCGGGAGCAGCGCCTCCTTCGGACAGTAGAGCAATTATAGTCACAACTTGACTGTCCTGGCGTGTCTTTGTCATAATTGTCGCAAGCAAGTTGATCTTCACCTGCCACCTCGTCGTCCTTCAGACTCGCCACCTCATTGGCCGGCGAGCATCCCTCCACCCCCAACGCAGAGTAAGACGATGACAAAACGTCATCCGGCTCCTGCAAGCTACCTGCCGCCGCCGCCGGCATCCCCTCAGAGAGATCCAGACTGGGAAGGGAGAAGGATGCAGAGTCGCTGGACTCTCGCAGCTCGTCTGAGCTGTCTGCCGTCGCCACGGACAAACTCTCCACAGCCTCCGGCCCGGCACCTGCAGCCACGGCACACACCATGCGCAAACGTGACTGAAAGGGATTAAGAATTTGGCAGAATGATGAAAGACTAAAAAATGTCTCAGACGTAACAAAACCTGGCTAACACAATACAAACCCGACTGAAAGATACGGCCATCTTTTGTGACTAAAACATGACTGAAAGTTGGCTGGAGCACTATTTAAAAAACATGACTGACACGTCATGTAAATGTGACTGAAATGTGATCAAAACGTACAACGTGCCTGAATGTGACTGAAACATGACTCAAAACATGAGTCAACGGGATTGACAGCCACGCAAGGCGTAACCATGGAAACAAGTGGAGCTCACCCGTGACCACGACCCCTGGCAGGTCTTCTCCAGCGTCATCACGGGTTGGTCCATTTTCTGACAGCGTTGGCTCCGCTCCATCCTCCTGATCGGCCGGAGGTCTGTCATTCTGGTCGCTTGTCAGCTGCCCCATGGCCTCTGTCCTCACTGTCGCCGTGTTTCCCAGACACTCCTTGGCGGTGTCTGTCGGAGGACATGACGTGTCCTCGCTTGATGCCTGATTTGAGGCGGACATGTTGCTGTTGTGGTGATGATGCAGATGGGGCCTCGGTCCAAAGGCTGACTCAGCACATGGCGTCTTCACGAGTCGCTGTCAATCACTCCCAGAACCGACATGGTCTGAAGAGGAGGAAAACGCAGTCTACGTAAGCCCACACACACACAACATGGGTGAAAATTCATTTGGAGCATAACATTCACACAAAATACTTAATTGTAGCTTTAGAATCATCCCTATGAAGAAATTGGGATTCCAGGGTAAGAAAAGATAGCTCAAGATAAAAAACATCAAAGTGTCAGTCATCGCTTTCTCTTTTGCTATAGAAGGATCCAAACGAGATGATGTAAAGCAGTTGGGAGTTACATTTTATTGCATGCAAAGCGCTTTATAAATGACGTTTGAAAGATGGGTTCTGAAGAGGTACACTAAATGCTCACTGAAGATGTGACGGTCGCATCCTTCCGTCGCATGTAACGAATCGATTTGATAAATTCTTTTGAGTACATTTATTTCGAATGACTATTTTTGTTCTTGTGGTGTCCGTAGTTCAAAGCGCATCCACCGCTTACTCCAACATGGCTACACAGGAACTACATCACTAAATTTGGAATTTGTCAAAACATTTAGCTACAGTAACGCAGCATGTCCAACCGTTCATCAAAAACGGCACTGCCCCTGCCGCCCCCCCCCGAAAAGTACATGTATGATTGTAAGCGACTGCTCTTAAATACAGTGTTTAAAGTATAATGATTTGATGATAACTTGCGAAACCTGTCCCTGTACTGTATTTCGCCATTATGCACGCAGCACACGCACCTAAAAAGGTCCCGCCCACTTTATACAAAGAGTTGGGGAGTGCTGTTGTTGTTGTTTAAGATACCCCTGTCTGACATTGACGAAACAAAGTCTATGATCGTTTTTGCCGGCGATCAATTCATGTGTACGATGTACTCTGTACGACTGTGGACTCTGTACTCACAGGCTCTCAGGCGACCCGAAACTGACGCGATGTTGAACAAGAATCCGATTTCCACTCGTCAGCATAGCTAGCTTAGCGGCACATGCTAACTCCCACGTCACGCCGCCTGTTTACCTTATTAGCCACGCCCACCACCGTCATGAGGCTCATAATCACGAACCTCGACGTCAGAGGCCTTCGCCAGCCTAACTCGTTCGCTTGTTTGCGGACAAATAAATGCAGCTTTGGCTTTCCATTTGACGAGTTGCTAGCCCGACTGGTTAGCGAGCTCTTGGCAAAAAAAAAACTCTTTTTTTCCCGTGAAAGCAATATGAAATCTGTGTTGACAACGTAGGAAATGGTGTGCGTGTAAGCTGTCACAATTTGAACTTCTTTTGACCTCTTACCATTGCCTCTGTTACAAATACACACATGATACTGCAATAAGTGGAGATGTGTTACCTTTTGGACGACCTCACGTTGCTGAAACGTTACTTTGTTGAGAGTTGCTCAGTGGGCGGAGCTTGGCTTTTGACGCTTTGTTGCGTAGAGAAAGTGACACAAATGTTATATAAATTGTATTTTTTTTAATTCAAGGTGGATTCATTGCAAAATATTACCATCCACGAAAAGACAAGTCATTTGAAAGTGTTGTGAAATGATCTACCGGAAGTGGCCTTTCAGTGAGTATCCCAACGACGCAGTTGCTGTCGTTTCTGTTAATGCCTTCCCCAACAATGAAAACAATTCCACACAGACGTATTTGACCGGCATTGGAGCATAACGGTTGCTTGCGTGCGTACCGAGCACTTCACGCTATGTTTTTCGGAATTGTTTTAGGAACCTATGATCCCTTTGCGCCTGCGCAAGGCTACAAGCTGTCGTAAATTGGTCTGTCACAACTCCGCCACCGCCATAACACGTGACGGATTTTAAAATACACACCCACGGGCACATTTGATTGACGTGTGAGCAAAAAAAAAAAAAAAACGACTGCTCGCGTAGTTACTGAATATGTTGCCCCCCATCATTTTGTTAATCTAATATTTCTGAATTTCGAACGTGTAAATTATGTCGCGATTGCACCAACTGTCCCAATTATGTGACGCAATGAATTTCTACCGACCGAATATACTGACCACTTTGTAGTCGTGGAATAAGAGGAAATGTTAGCGAATATGGAACAAAGTCTCTGTGCAGAGTGACTAGAACCTGACCTGTTCAGACTACATTCCACTTTATAAAAACACATCTCAATCAAATGCAGATTGCACATAACCACAAGTGCATAAGCAGTCATTAAATATCATATTGGGTATATGTACTCCGTATGTCAACATGAGTGTCTATATTTACACGTATGTACAGTCTTTGAATGACTATGATCGGGCGTAATAAAGTCTATACACCGTAAAGTCACTTGCGAGATCAAACACTGTTCATGAACAGTGTGCAGTATCACAATATGTGTTTGAGGTTTCAACCCCAACATGTTTTCAACACTGAAGAACTTGTATTACTCGTCCAACATGTACTCGATCCCAGAGGAGGAGTGAAAAATTTGTTTTCCACAATGCACTGCATTTGGTAGAATTGTCGATACATTTAAAGGAACAGGATCAGTGGATGATGCAAAATGCTGTCCCAGTCCAGCAAAGCTATCTGAAGAGAAACTGTTGCATTGCATCAATAAAAACTTTTAAATTAAATGAATGAATCACACCATACTGACCAGAGATGCAATTTTTGCTCTGACCAACCAGTCAGAGGACAGAAAAATCCTCAACCCGTAAATACAGTAGTACCAATTTAGAGGTAGCACATCATTCGGCCACTTGGTGGCGCATATCTAATACATGGTCAAAGAGAGTCGTCCGGTGACCGTCGTGGTCGTACAAAGTAATCTGCCCGTATGAAAAACGATGTGAAAAATAATTTGAAAATAATTTTTTTTGAGGATGTCAAACTTCACATTTATTCTCGTCATTGATGCAGAAAACATTCCCAGTAGCAGAACAATCGTTTTTTGTTAACTTTTCTTTTGATGGCGGCGCGGGCACCCGCAGCAGCTCCTCTTGTTGCATGTTGTTTTGAGAGGGAAGAAATTTCACACACAGCACATTTGACAATAAAGTTGTACTTGACTTGACTTGACTTGAATCGAAACAGTGTCCAGGCATACATTTTGCACGAGGGACAATGTTTTTCTATTTTTAGCTATTTATAGGAGAGCTCGACATTAGTTTCCTTTTCATATATCTTGTTTGTTTGTCATATTGTGTTGTGAAGGCAGTACATTCATGCTGTTTAACTTCTCACAACGCTGTTAAGGGTATCCAACTCTTTGAAACTAGATGACTCTAAAGTGTCATTAGCTTTGGGTTTTGAGCACCACGAAGGGTGCTACAGATCCTTTTATGTCATGAGTTTACACTGCATTTTTGCCACTTGATTTACACAGCCTGGCCTGTGGTTAGAATATACATGATTAATGTAACTGCACTGGGTTCAATTCTGAATGTAAATATTCATATTTTTACTAATGCAACAAGTTAGCTAGCAAGAAACTCAACTATTTGCAGCACTGGATCTCCTGAAAATGTCTTCCATATGAAAGTAAAATTGGTACTGCATGAAAGCCTTAAGTGAATCAAAAATCATGATTCGAATCGGGTCCTTGGGAATCGGATCAAATCCATTTTGGAAATCTGAATCGGTACCAAGCCAAACGAGATACCTATCGAATCGTCTTTTATTGGAGAGATGTGTACCCCGACTTCGAATGCTACCTGTAACTTGTCTTGTAAGAGCTGAGTAAGAGCAACAGACCAACGTTAACTTCGGACGTTAGTGCCAACATTAGTGCCATCATTAGTTTTCAAGGTTAGCTTGAACATTAGCTTCCGACATTAGTCCCATCGTTAGTTTTCAAAGTTAGCTTGAACATTAGCTTCCAACATGAGTGCTATCAGTAGTTTTCAAAGTTAGCTTGAACATTAGCTTCTGACAAGGCCTCCAACTTAAGCTTCCGGTGTTATGTTCCAAATGTAGTTACTTTCAGCATTGCCTGCCTCTAATATTAGCTTCAACCTGACCTTTGTTATGTTAGCTTATTTTTGTGATTTTTTTTTTTTTTATCAGATAATATTTTACAAATATGTGCTGGGTGACAAACATTCACTTAATTGATTAAATATATTAAAAAAAAATGCTTTTGACTTTTTCCACTGAGCTCGGCGGTCATGTCAGCCAACACGCAACAGGAGAGCAGACAAAGCTCTCTGATTGGACGAGGTAGTGGAAACCTGATCCGCTGTCGTCGTGACTTCCCGTCTTGACCCGACTTCCCCTTTCTTCTACTTCCTGCTCCTCAGACGTGTTTGCGCCCGTCCAACGTTTTTGAGTCCTTCAGGGCAAAGACACACGCTCACACGGACACACACACACACACACACACACGGACACACACACACGGAGCCGGTGAGGGCACACACACACACACACACACACACACACACACACACACACACACACACACACACACGCTAGCATCCAGCTGGCCCCTCCCACACAGGTGAGGTGTCAGAGTCCACGCAGTGATGATGTCATCAGGTGAGTCCATACTTTCCCGTATGACTGACGACTAAAGAGCAGCTCCTTCGTGAATATTATTATTATTATTCCCTCGCTGTTACTTATTAGTACTTACATTGGCGTGCGTGTTTAAGTGTGACTTCTTGCGAATGTGTGTTTCTTTGTGTGTGTTTGTTGGCCTCTCTGTTATTGTGATTACTTCGGGTTCTTCGCACTTTTTTCTTTTGCATTTAATGTTCTCAAAGACTCGACACATCTGAGTGAGTACAGAGGTTACCAATGTTTGTGTGTCTGAGTGTGCATTTACGTGTGCGTGTGCGTGTTTGCGTGTGTGTGCGTTTTAAGGTTCCAGTGAGACAGCATGTCTGCTGTGACGACAACTTCAAGGCCCAGTGAAGCTGCGGGTCATGTGACATTCTCCTCTTCCTCCCTGGTCACTTCATTAGGTACACGGTCCAATGACGCATGCGCTTGATGTCGTACGCTCACGCATGCATACTGTTGTCATATTTGATGCACTGCACCTAAAAAAAACGAACAGTGTAATTGTTTCCCGATCAAAGTTGTGTCTGTGTGTGCCACATTTGTCAGACTCCCAAGAATTTAGCGTCGCCACGGCAACAGCAGACACTGCTTTGGCAGGTGAGAACGCGCGTGCGCACACATAAGCGGTTTTGACCCCGTGACCTCATTGTCGTTTTTTCGCGAAGAAGAGGAGGGTGAGCTGGAAAATGAGAAAGACCACGCAGGTGAGGAAGAAGAGTGCGATGACGAAACAACACGTCACTCATCTTCTTTTCCTTTGTCGTCACGATTGACATGATGGTCGCGTCGTCGTCATCAGAGGGATCTGCAAGTGTGGCAGCAGGTAAAGTCAACGACTGATCAATGTTTTCCTATTGGCATAGCCTTCCACTAGCCTAATGCTAACGAGCAAAGCATAAATCCGTTGGCAGAGGTGACTTTCGTGAAAGGTACGTGACATCACTTCCTGTCCACAGAGCGTCCGGTCACTCTGGCGCTGTCGCCGTGTTGTGGGGAAGGAGGAAAGAAGAGCATGAGGAAGGTTCTGGTGGCGCCGGTCCTCAGCGTCTCTTTAGGTCAGAATGACACAAACAAAACAACAACCACAAAAAAACAACACAACAAATCATTTTAGTCAATCATACAAAACAAATTTACACAATATTTAAATGTCAAACTCTTCAACCCAACTTAGCTTAATGCTAACATATAATGCCAAACACCATAGATGGGCTACTAAAAATGAGCATTGTTATTCTGGTATGCTTCTCCTTACATGGTTGCTAATTGGCTAAATCAGGGGTCACTGACGTGATTAACCCGTCGGCCTGTTTTAAAAATAATTCCTCGTTATGGGACACAGTAATTTCCTAGGATAGCTGTTGCGAAAGATATCATTTGAAAAGACAAATCAGACAAAACCAGCTTCCAAAATATTCGTCACTAAAATGTTCAACCAAAACGCGTGATTTCATTTGACAAAAAGTTTGCTAGCTAAATGCTAATGTTAATACTGGCTAATGGAAATTAGCATTGGCATTGTACAAGGGAGCACATTTCTTCTTTGGCAAGTGTGCATTAGCTCTCGCTGAGATCTTGCTGGGTGGTGGTATCGACGTCGTTCAGGTCGCAGCGAGTCAGGCGACTTCCACTCGGCGTTCCTGTCGCCGTCTCTCGGTGAGGAGGACGACGGCGGTCCGGACTTCGACCTCGACGCTATGGAGACGCCCTCGGACAGCGAGTCCCTTCGCTTCCCCATCGATGACCTCGACCTGGATGGTGAGAGGACGCCGATTCATGATATGGTTGATGATATCGACGATCCGAAAAAGGCAACGCAAGTAACAGGACGCTGGCGTGTATTTTGCTGCGTTGCAACTAGAATAATGCACATTACTACTTTCCTGTTAGCCATTTTTAGTTTTCCAAATTAATTTTTCAATGTTGCCTCATGCAAAGGACAACCAACGAGAGCTTGCTATCATTTTTTTAGATAATAGTTTTTTAATATTTGGTATTTTTCATCAGAAAGTCAAAATATGAGACAAGTTTTTTGGGGGGGACCATGTTTACCTATTTTAAGATCAATTCTCTTATTTTTCCAGGGAAAAATGTGTGCAACTTTACCAACATTGTATTTTGGTAAAGTTGCAGTATTGTATTTTTAAACGAGAATTAAAAAAAAAAAAAATTAAAAAAGAAAAATTCTTTGGGGAGAAACAAGAAAACTTCTACGATTATGAGAATACAGTTTTTTTTTTCCATCGATACAATTTATTAAATGTGATGACGATTTCTTGAGTGCAGATGACTCAGGCGGGCGTGGCCCGGCGTCCAGCTCCGGGTCAGGGATGGAGGCGGAGCCTTCTGGTCTGGGAGCGCTGGAGCGCGACGATGTGGTAGACAGCCAGGGCACCAGGTGGCGCTCGTTCTCCGCCGGAACCGCGCCGCACGACGGACGCGTCAACATGAGCGTGCTGGAACCTTTCCTCCGGGTTTTATCACACGGGGGTACGCGCACCCGCACGCGCACACATGCCCATGATATCCCTAAACGTAACGTCTCACCTGTCTCTTCAGGTTACTATGGCGACGGCATGAATGACATCATCGTGTTTTCCTCTTGTTACCTGCCTGAGAACTCACTGGAAAATTATCACTATGTGATGGACAACCTCTTCAGGTCAGTCGCACGTGCGCAGCCGCACACGCGCACACCACTTTACTTGATTCAAGTCCGTGGGTGTGTGTGTGTGTGTGTGTGTGTGTGTGTGTGTGTGTGTGTGTGTGTGTGTGTGTGTTTCAGATACTTGGTAGGCACGTTGGAGCTGATGGTCCGTGAAAACTACGTGATTGTTTTTCTTTGCGCCGGCGGTCATAAGGACAACCTGCCAGGGATCGGTTGGCTCAAGGAATGTTACCACACCATCGCATGGAGGTCAGCACGCACACACAGAAAGACAAAAAAAACGGGCCAAAAAACGTCTCACCTGTCTCTTCAGGTTACTATGGCGACGGCATGAATGACATCATCGTGTTTTCCTCTTGTTACCTGCCTGAGAACTCACTGGAAAATTATCACTATGTGATGGACAACCTCTTCAGGTCAGTCGCACGTGCGCAGCCGCACACGCGCACACCACTTTACTTGATTCAAGTCCGTGGGTGTGTGTGTGTGTGTGTGTGTTTCAGATACTTGGTAGGCACGTTGGAGCTGATGGTCCGTGAAAACTACGTGATTGTTTTTCTTTGCGCCGGCGGTCATAAGGACAACCTGCCAGGGATCGGTTGGCTCAAGGAATGTTACCACACCATCGCATGGAGGTCAGCACGCACACACAGAAAGACAAAAAAAACGGGCCAAAAAACAAAAAAAAAAAAACAAACAACCAACACACACACACACACCCACACAAATGTATATGGACAAAAATACACAATGCAGAACCAACTTCAAAAACATACACACAGTTAAACACGCACACGCCACTCATCCGTTCATCTCCCTTGCCTGCACCACTTCGCGTTGTCCAGCAGGGGGCATTAAAGTGACGTTTAACGCGTTGAAACGTCACAAACCAGATAGTGCGGCCGATGAAGTGAGTCGACCATTTTGTTGTCATTGAATCTGGAAGAGGCAATGACGTCATTAACAGCGACCAAATTGTGTAAGAAAACTATTTTCATTTTACTGATTTGTCAAACAGCTATCTAAAGAATAAATTCAGGTAGTCATTGATGGGTGATTCCAAATGTAGTTGCCTGTTGCCTTGCTAATGTGAAAAATTTGCAAAGGAGGCGAGCTTGCCTTATGTACTATGTGTGTGTCTGTGTGTGTGTGTGTGTGTGTAGGCTGAGGAAGAATCTGAAAGGCATGTTCGTGGTTCATCCCACTTGGGCCATCAAAACGCTCATCACCATCATCAAACCCTTTATCAGGTCAGCTCCTCGCCATCGTCGCGCCGCCGCCAACACACGTAGACGTGGAAACATAGACGGCGTGAACCCTTCTCGCTGACGTCAGAAGGTTCCACGGAAGGAGGCAAACCCTGACTTTCTCTTTCTCCTTCTCCTTCACGCAGCTCAAAGTTCAGCAGGAAGCTGCAGTTCGTCGGCAGCCTTCGGGAACTTTCAGCTCTGCTGCCCACTCAGCACATGCAGATCCCCGAATGCGTCACCATGTGAGTGGGTCGCTCGGTGCCGTGGCAGGAGGACCAGGAAGAGGACGAAGACGATGATGCCGATTGATGTTTTTCCTCCCCTGCAGGTACGACAACAACCTGTCCAGATGAACACGTCGCCGGTGCGATTTCGGCGCGGCCGTGACGCTGGCTCAGCGGTCTGGTCACCAGCGTCCTAAACATATGTACTTAAGGTTCACTTCAGAATTTTTGAATCGGAGTAATATTCTTCTACATAAATTTGAATAATTTTCTACAAATACTTCTGTATTATATATATATATATATATATATATATATATATATATATATAACGTTGGTTTATACCTACCATCACACACACACACACATATATAACACACACTGGTGCTCCGATTTTTCATGGAAAAGTATGTATGTGATGGGCATGTTTTATTGCAAGTCACAAAAACGGTGACGCGCGGGTCGTACTTGCGCCGCAAATCGAGCAAAAATGCCGCTGTGTGGAGGTTTGATGTGATTTGTGAGTGATCGGAATAATTCTTTCTGATTCATGTGATCAGTATCTAAATCGGTATCGGCCAGTTTCACTCATGGATAATCGGTACTGGACTTTGCAGCCTAAAACCCAGATTGCAACCCCCTAAATACATTTATATTTGTATAAAAGCATTTTAAGTCACCGATTTTAGGGCGTTGCAAGCCAGCGTTTTACGAATGATGGCCACCGTTATCATGTTGGTGTGTGAATTTTTATTTTATTTGTATTTTTTTTTTTTGGACTAAGTGCAAAGAAAGAATGTTTCCTTCATTTTTAATAGAATGTTTCAAGTTGTTCATTGTGTAAGTGAATGGAGTTGCTAACACCTTCCTCATGTTTATGACAGGACAGGAAACACTGCAGCCATTCAGGGCACAGGAAAACCTCACTCTGTGTGTGTGTGTGTGTGTGTGTGCGTGTTGGGTGGGTGTGTGTGTGTGTGTGCGCGAGTGTGTGTAGTCGGGAAGGAGGAGGGAAGGCAGGCGTGCAGGAAGGAAGTGAGGTCTGCTGAGGAAAGCCCATAAACAGGAACACAGAACACGATGGCTGTGTCCAAATTCACAGGCTGGATCCTTGAAGGCTTTTTTTTGGTGTGCCCACACGACGTCACTTCCGGTGCGACTTGACCGCACGTGGTGTTCAAATTCACATTTAGTCTGTCCAAATTGGCCACGCTTTATGCAGTCCATGGAGGAGCATTTAAAGGGATTCGGAAGACCCAGCCTGCCGATTGTCTTCCTGGAATTTGGAAAGCACGCGTGGTCGAGTTGGCCGGAAGTGACGTCATGTGGCGGGAAAATGCAGCCTTCGCAGGGACCCGGCCGATGAATTTGGACACAGCCAAACTTGTTTTTCTCGTTAGCTCGCTGCTGCGCTAGGAGCCCGTTTGACAATGTGTAGTAAGTGGGCGCCCACTAGTGGTACGCAGAAGAATCACTGCATTACAGCGCATCATGTCATCGTGGCTTCAATTTGTCGCCGATTTTGCTCTCGGTGTGCATGTCACCGCGGTGGACAATATTACACAGACCTTTGATCTGCTCGTTGATAAACCCTTTGACCTACTTCCTCAGAGGTTCGTTTGTGTTGGTCATGATGGCGCGACGGAGCAGTCACCAGACGAGACTAACGCGCCTGTCCACTCGCATTTTCTTTGGCTTAAAGGAAGCTCAGATGCTAAGCTAACTCATTTTAGAATTGTGGGAGTTAAAAAAATAATAATAATTTCAAAAAGATGCAATAACAGGGACAACATGCTAAATGCTAATCGGAAGGCTAAGATTCCAAGCCAGGAACCTCACGACTGTCAGGATATGTTCACCTCGAGGCCAGTCTTTCCTTTTAGTTTTTAAACCTCTCAGGGACGGACGGCGATTACTACAGTGGACAGCTTATCATGCGATCAGGCTACAGGGTGCAGGAAAGGGTTAAAACAAGCCCAACCACTAAAACATACTTTCATGATGTCATCGTGTACTGTAAGCAAGCACCATTTCTACAGACTATTTCCTACGCCTGTCTCCATGACAACACACACACACACACACACACACACACACACACACACACACACACACACACACACACACACACAGATTTTCATGGCATCAGATGATGTTACGTTTCCTTCTGGAACTCGTCCCCTAATCTGACCTTGAACCCTCTTTCAAGTTTCATCATGTTCTCTTATGTCACCCCCAGACGCATCGCGCACACATCATTACAGCAGCTTTGCTTTGTGCCCAGCTGTTACTAATAAAGCGTGTGCGCGCGCACACACATAGACACACACTCATAGAAGCAGAAAAAAAAAACACGCAATCACAGACAGACCGAAACTCGCGCAGACGTGTAAAAATACACGCACAGATGCATATGCACACACAATTTATACATAAACACACATCCGCACACACACACACACACACTCACACACACACAGATCATGCACAGACAGATGCAGAGAAAAAAATGCGCGCTCACACACGCAGACATACACAAACACGACGGCGACCGCGCGTCGTTCGGCCGAACTCGTTCAAAGTAAAAGCGCAACCGCTGGAAGGAAGCGCGGGTCTTTCTTTATTCATCAGTTACATAACCAGCAGGCGGAGCTTAGCTTAGCAAGCAAGTGCGTGCGGACGGCCTTGCGTAAGCAAAAACGTCACTTGGGACATGTCAACATGATCTGAAGGTGACCCTGAGCTTCTGTGGAGGTCAAAGTTCATTTGAAATGCAAACGTGGTGACGCACTGACGTCTTTTTATAAAGATAAATTGTCAATAGATACACCCCCCAAAAAAAAAAACAAAAATCCCTCAAAAAGCTCACAGGAGCCAATTGTCCCGTCGCATTCGCGTCCAAGTGGCGATCACGTGACCTGCAAGCACATAAAAATCGTCCACTGAGAAGGAGGTGGTCACATGACCTCTAAGTCTTTGAAAGAGGACGTCCTCCAGTGCATCGGACTGCCATGTCGTCACGTAAGCCGTGACTGACCTATGAGCGCAAAGCATCCTGGGAACTTGAAATGCGACCGCCGATTGAGCGGGGAATGCTGGGAAATGTTCAAAACCACAAAGTTGGACTTTTGAAGAAAGGGGACTGTGGCAAACGGAGTCCGGTAGAGTTGTGTGTTTGAGCGCTGACGTCCTCGCTCAAGTTCATCCCCTCCCGAGTTGGTCCGCGTCAGACTGAAAGTTGGAGGTCCGCGCAGGTTCGGCATCTTTGACGACGGGCTTTGCTCACAGGGACGGCGCCCCCTTCCCCCACAACCCCAAAGGGGGCCGGACGGAATGTGGGCGTGTCGCCGCCGAGAGGACAGTCAGCGCCGTGGTACGCCTGACAAAAGAGAGAGAGAGCGTGTCGGCCATTTAAAAGGGTCGCAGTATAGCGCCACCTAGGAAAATAAAGAGAAGAAGGGAAAGGAATCCAAAAAAAGGAGAGAGGAGAAAAAAAGCGAACGCGGAGAAGACGAGTCAAGCAGGAGAGGAGAGGCAGAAGGAAGAAAAAAAAATGAATTAGCTGAAGAAGAGGAAGGATGGAGAACAGCTTGATAAAGAGGAGCGGGAAAAAGAAGAAGAAAAAAAGAACTTTACCGGCTACAAAAGGCTGTTTCTGCCGTTCATGTTTGGACATTTCGACCTCATCTGCTCCTGAACGGACCCCGACTGCGCACACACACACACAAACACACACACGCGCACGTGAGACCACAATCGGCGAGCGATTGTGCGTTTGTCGGCCGCCGGTCCTTACCGGCTGGCGTCCGTCGGCCATCTCTCCCGAGCCAATGTGGGTCAGGTGGATGAAGTTTGTCGGCTCACCGATCATGCTGCGGTCAATCCTCCGCCTCCTCCTCTTCTAGAAAAACACGCACGCGGGTGAGCGTGCGGCGACAGATGCCGAATAACATTTGAGTGCCTGTAGTCGTCACCTCGCATCATAGGTTGTGTTTGCAACAAAGCCACGTGCGGAAACCGACCGACGTTCCCGAACGCCTCTCCAGGTTACATTAGCAACCAGTCGGCGGCAAGGAGCCCCCGAGTTGGATTTCAAGAATGCGCAAGTGCCCGGCAACGAGTCCAGGGTGCGCAACACAACCCCCCCCCCCAAAAAAAAGTAATTCAGTTACATCTTCAATCAAGCACGGATGATTTTGCTTTCCATCCCTTGGCAAGTTTTCAAGGGGATTTACAGCTTGAATACCCGGTGAGAAGTATTCAACCCCAAAAAACGTTTGCTTTCCCCGCCCACCCAGCAGCTTAAAGGAAACTCGCATTAACTTCCCTGAGAGTGAGCTCATCAGTGTGTGTGTGTGTGTGTGTGTGTGTGTGTGTGTATATTGTTCCCGTGTCACAATAGAACAAAGAGAAAAGTCTAAAAATAAAAGCGGCCGCTGGTGGTGTCAGCATCCTGTGAGCCCTTTCACAATAATAAGCATCATCATCATCGTCGTTTTGGGCATAGTGGTGAGGTTGCCGGTTTCAATCGGATTTTTGTTTGTTCTTCCCCTCGCGCCCACGTTCCCGAAAGGTGCAACTTTGCGTACATGAGCCTTGGTCTTGTCAGGTGACCGGTCTTGTTTGTCTATATGTGCGACTGGTCGACCGATGGGATAGACTCCAGCTCATCTAAACGAGGCCGATGTGGAAAACGGCATCTTACCGGCGGCGCTTTGGCCGTGACGCAACAAGCCATCTTGTGCCAGAATTCGCTCATGCCGACGACCGCCCGAGACCAGGAAGTGCAACCGGCGGCTAAACCCGGAACGCGCGGGAGGCAAAATGGTCCAGCCTGCCCGACAACCGCTGAGCTTGTTTCCGCGCTGGACCTGCAAAACACCCAAGATGCCTTGTCAGCAAAAATTCAAGTGGCTAGCAAGTTTCACATACAGCTCGAGTGAAGTACAAAACAGAAAAAAAAAAAAGAAAAAAACAGGACAAGTAAGGTACTGTAATGCCCTTGCATGTGGGCAAGGAGAGCCACTGCCACCTATGCAGTTGCTGTTTTTTTTTTTTTTTTTCAACCAACGGCTTCTGATTGGAGCCCGTTTGGATGAATTCCTCAGTCGGCCTCGGTGAAAACGTCATTCGCGGAATGGATGACATTCCCATGTTTGCCTTTCTTATTTGTCGCCGCAGGACGCGAGCGATTTGCGTTTTTGGGCTCGTCTGTAAAAGACATTTTCACCTGGCCGGATTATGTGCGCTTGCAAATATTGGCGCGTTTTCCTGCCAAGTCGGAGGACAAAAACACACACGGAGTGTGTGAGTAA